TTGCGGATCCAGACTAGATCCGCGGCAGACCCTATCCGGATCCGATCTGGACCCGTTCATTTTGGAATGAAAACCTATCAGATCACTCATTCAAAACTAGTAATCTGGCCAAAACTACAAAAATATTTCAAATCTATTGGTGGACCAACATTAGATAGACTGCCCACTAAACAACATGATGTCCAAAAGATGTCTTTTCAACGTCTTTGTCACAAAAGTCGGATGCTGAAAAGACGTCCACTGAGGAGCCAGAATTAAAGTTTTTATGACGTGTTTTTTTGACGTGTTCTGCACGTCCGATGTAGACGTTCATCGAACCTTCGTACACGTTTAAAAACTAGGTCAAATGTGGCCATCGTGTTTAAAACTCATGTTTATATCAATGTCATTTCCTTACATTGTTTAGATGAGGTTTAGATGTTGATATGTTTCATTTTAAGAAACCATTGTGGTGATGAGTGTTTGCTTTAGTTGGGCTCTTGGTCCCAATTCATCTTACTTTAACTTTACTTTGGTTGTTGTAACTGTGTGTTTGTATAACACTATTGTTGTTGCATAGAAAGCCAAGAAAAAGTAAAATCGGCTGTCATCGCCTCCTTGTTGATGACAAAAACACAAAGCGAGTTTTTAATGATGTGTGTAGACTTTTGTCCTTATATCTGCTGTTTATAACCACCTATTTTGTGGAACTGCGTTATTAGGACCAGTACCATTACAATTGTTGCTTATTTGAAGGTCAATAAAAATCATGTGTACTCAATGTTTTGAGCAAATATGTCACATAGTCACACACAGACATCACGATTTTGCATATGATTCTCAACAACGGTGACAACCAAAACAAAAACAGCTTGGGAATCAAGGATTTTTTGTACTTTGAAAACTACCCATCATGCATTGCAGCATGAAGCTTTTTTTATTGTCACCGTTCTTGTGATACATACGCAAAATCTTGATGTATGTGTGTGACTATAAGGTACATTTCCTAATAACATTGTTTAACAAACTTTTTTTTATTCAACCTTCTAATAAATGCTAATTTTAATGGTATACAAATAACACAGTTCCACAAGATAGGTGGTTATGAATGGCAGAAATAAAGACTAAACTCTAAATACAACATCAAATGCTCACTTTGTGACTTAGCAATGATAATCAACAAGCTGATGCCAGCATCTCACTTTTTCTTGGCTTTCTGTGCATCAACAATAATGTTATACAAACACACAGTTACTACAACCAAAGTAAAGTTAAAGTAAGATGAATTGGGACCAAGAGCCCAACTAAAGCAAACACTCATCACCACAATGGTTTCTTAAAATGAAACATATCAACATCTAAACCTCATCTAAACAATGTAAGGAAATGACATTGATATAAACATGAGTTTTAAACACGATGGCCACATTTGACCTAGTTTTTAAACTTGTACGAAGGTTCGATGAACGTCTACATCGGACGTGCAGAACACGTCAAAAAAACACGTCATAAAAACTTTAATTCTGGCTCCTCAGTGGACGTCTTTTCAGCATCCGACTTTTGTGACAAAGACGTTGAAAAGACATCTTTTGGACATCATGTTGTTTAGTGGGCAGTCTATCTAATGTTGGTCCACCAATAGATTTGAAATATTTTTGTAGTTTTGGCCAGATTACTAGTTTTGAATGAGTGATCTGATAGGTTTTCATTCCAAAATGAACGGTTCCAGATCGGATCCGGATAGGGTCTGCCGCGGATCTAGTCTGGATCCGCAATCCGGATCTGTTCCGGATCCGTTGCGCTGTGCAAGTGGACTCCGTTCCGGACCTGGTTCTTACCTCCGCGGCAGATCCGTTCCGGATCTGTTTGCTATGTGGGCTGGATTGTGTAGAGCGCTCATTGAATTTGAGGATTTATCGTGTTTAGGCTAAAAACAGGGCTGGCGCTTATCGTGGTTTGGAAAGAAACTGTATCTTGCAGTACATTTTAAACAAGGAAATATAGCGATTCGGCATGAAACGTTGATAGAGCAGTGAAAGGGTTCTGTCCGCAGCAGAATGACACGACAAACTCATTTTTTTTTAAAAATGTCGTTTAACGCGTTTTGGAAAAGAGCTCTTCATATATAGTGTGTGTAACACAAAAATATAAGTTACTAGGTGCACTTAAATGTATGTATAAATAAAATGAAAAATACATAAGGCATGTCAACTTGCGTCAAAATTAAGTAAATCTAGCATATCATTTTAAGTACTATATGAGCCACGTGATATGCAATTTCCCGTGGTGCCTATCCAGACAAAAATTAAGCCATTTTATTTCACAGCACATGTGAAGACGTTGAGAAGAGGTAAGCTTATTTTTTGTACTTAGGCCTACACATGATCATTTGCATTTTCGGTCAAGAAATTTACTTTTAACTGAATTTAATTGCTACAAATTTTGCATCAACAATTAGAAACGTGTTACGAATGTAACGTTTGTAGTCTACATGTTAATGAATGAAATAAGTGTTTTGCACGCGAGTATTTGAAGAGTATATTGTGTTTTTTTCAAAATATATGACCATGATGTTGGCTTATGCATTAATGGTGTGTTCACACAGAACGTGAATTTAATTATTTGCGATAGCAGATTACATTCATAGTCAATGCAAAGACGCGAAGACGCATCATTCGCGCCGGGCGTCGCGAATTGGGTGACTCGTTTGCCGCGAACGTCTTCCTCGGTAGGCTAGAAAAATTTGAACTTGAGCGGGCTGCGGAAGATTCAAGCATCTAACTAGACGTGACGTGTTTGACGCGTTCGGTTACCAATTCGGACGGCGCTTTCTCCCCCACGGATAGCCTAGATTATAGGCCTACTTTATTAGCGAGTTGTTTTTGGATAAAACAAATGTACCTTGCATATTTACAAATTCCTATATTCTCTATCTATACATGGATCGCGGGGAAGGGGGCTTTGGGCGCGGGTTAGCCTACTTTTGGTAACGTTAACATAAATTTTACATTCAAAAACACATTGCCTGCAGCTCCGTGTGCACAATTTATCATTAAATAATGGCAATCTTGATTCTAGCACAATATTATTCCTAAATGACAGCGACAATTCAGTAAATTAAACCTTCAAAATTATTATCAAAACAAGTAAATACCCTTTAAACAAAAGTTTAGCTTCAAATAAAGATTGTAAATTAATAGATATTAATAGACTAATTTTTATATTTATAGGCATTTAATAATGGACTAATTTGTTACATTTAATTGTTTTTTATTGATTTTTGAAAAAAATAAATATATAGGCATATCTTCTGCCCACCAAGCCTTCATTTCTTTGATCCAAGAAAAAACTGTAATATTGTGACTATTATTATTATTATTTTAACAACTATTTTCTATTTTAATATATTTTAAGATGCAATTTAAAAGTTTTGGGTAAAAAATAAATAATAAAGTGAAATGCTTTATTGTGTGTGATTTGCATGTTTAATTTATTTTAAGACATGTAAGCTGAAGATCTAAAATAAGTTAAAATGGTTGGTTCAACTGATTTAATTGTCTTTTTTTTATATATATATAAATGAGCTTAAATGTTAAGTAAACAGAACTAAGATTTGTTTTTATCTCACATGGCCTGCACTGTGTTGGATTTACTTAAAAGATATATGCACCATTTTTGCGTCATACTTTTTAAGTAATCCGTAATCATTTAATTAAGTAAATTTTTAACTTGGAATAATTTTACATAAAATAAACTTAAATATTTTAGTTCACGTGACATTCTTTACTTAAAAATATATGTAACGTGATGCATACATTTTTAAGTAAAGAATGTTGCGTGAACTCAAATAATTAAGTGCATATAACAAAGATTTTCTTGTTAATTTTAAGTAAAATTATTCCAAGTTGGGATTACTTATGATGCAAAAATGGTGCATATATATTTTAAGTAAATCCAACACATCATTTTTTAGAGTGTGGGTTGAAAACAATGTTTTCCAATTTTTCAACACAATTTCCAACACAATTTCTGAATCTATTTGTCTGACAGACTGAAGTACTGAAATCTACAGAATTAGCGATCGTGTTGATCAAGACTGGAGAGCAAAGAAGATTTCTCAAGATATTTATAGCCGTAACTGTCTAAGAACATGTATTTTGTTGAGATATGTATTTGTTTTGTTTTTTATAAATTGATGTAGAGTTCATTTAAAAACAATTGTGATATTCAGAAAATGTTTGTAAAATGCCTTAGAGGTGTTTAAAGTTAGGGGTTCTTTAAGGAGGATTTACGTAGAAAACGTGATGTCACATTACGCGGTTCAGTTTGGAGCGGTTCTGCGTCATTTTGGGTCAGAACGAACATGGATGCAGAGAAACGACATGTGGTCTGAAAAGAATTGCTAAATCTGCATGGTTTGAGAGGCGCACACGGTAATTTACCTTTATATATATTTCTTAATGTTTATAATGTTTTATATTATTCTACATGCATGATGTGATGTGTTTTTCATGATAATGATTGGATTCGTCATATTTCTTTTGTGATTCACTTTCATATCATGGGACATTGGCACGAAACTGAGAAGGACTGAGAAATGCATATTTTTGAAAATGTGTTTTCATTTTTTGTAGTTTTCACGGTGTCTATGGTGTCAACTGAAAAGAGAGAGAGAGATATGTACACTCAAAAAAATGATTCATTGGATGAACTCAATTAAGTTGTGGGCAGGATTTCCATCCAATAAATATATGTAGTCCCAACTCAAATTGAGTACATCCATTCAACAGAATTTAAATGAGTTAGCCTAACTTATTTTTATCAAATACTTACAACAGTATGTAATTGAGTTCTCCTAACTAAATTTTACCAAATACAGCTGAAATAAAATAATTACATTAACTAAATGAAATTGATTTTCATTTGACCAACTCAAACTTACTTAATTATTGGAAATTATCATCAATTAAACATATAAATCATTTTTCATTTGATCCATTAACATACACGTGAGACAAAACTGTTTTTTTATTTTTATTTTATTTTTTATTGAAATACATTTACATTTGAACTTCATTTCCTTAGAACCCCTCCAATCAAAAAATGTTTTTTTTTTCCTGTTGGATGTTTGAGTTTCACCATGGTGAATGATGCCAAATAGAATGAACTTGACTCCACAACTCCAACGTCCTCAGGCTCCTGATCCCCATCACTTCCGGTCACATGACTGTGGTTGCTAGGTCCCTTTCTGCATCCTCGGTCGCCAGTGCCTGAACACCACAAACACAGAAAACACAGCAAGTGTTAAATAAAGATGGACATAGAAATAAGGTGACATAAAGTGATGCAAGGCTCCACAGGTGATGGCATCAGACACAAAAATACATATAGAAAAGCATTTGTCCATTATCAACAGCACAACTTCATCCCCCAGGCCAACAGAACTCTAAACAATCTCCCCACTCCAAGCACACACACTCACACTCCCCCCCCTAAATTCAAAAAACATGTACGATCACTTGTCTACAGCAGTACATAAGAACACCTCTGTAGGGCTGCTTAGGGCTGGGCGATTTGGCCTAAAAAATCCCAGATTTTTTCACAAAAATATCCGATTTACGATTTAAAACTATTTTTTTCCTCTCCCTACTTAAAATCAATCTGTAGACGACAAAGAAATTGTTCAAAACAAGTTTTAACTTTATTACCTTCTGGGATATTATCTGGATTAAAGTGCAATCAGAAACAACAAGCCAAAAAGACAAGAGGGCAGGCCCTGTCATTGTAAATAGTGTAAATATAACATAACATAAAATGGGTGGATTGGGGGGATGTGTAAAAAAAAAAAAAAACTCACAATGTTTATTGTGATTGTCAAAGTATTTGGTAACTAAACAATTTTATTAAGTTTATTAACTATGTAACACAATGTTTACATGGTACAAAGACTGGTATGCTATTGTTTTTATTATTGCTTAATACAAATTTTAATTCAATTCTTGTGATTTGATTCGGATATTGATTCAATATCAATTCGTTTGGGTAAATATTAGGTACAGTAGATATCCTACCTTAATGTGTTATGTTAATTGTTCTCCAAAAATAAATCACTTAATGCTATAATACAGAGAGACCCTGTCAGCTGGTATTAGGTTTAAAGGTTAAAACCAACTCAAATTAAATATGTGTTTTTATAACAACAAACAACATTATAATATTTGAATGATATAGGTAAAAATATAATAAATGTGTAATATAGTTATCATATTTAGCAAAATACTCCTCTCTATAGTAATTATTTTAAGTCCAACTAACATGCATGTTATGGCTAATTGAAGGCATTCCTGAGGTAAATGTAACGTTAGGTGACATGTTGTTCTCCAGCTGTTTTATGGACATCTTTCCGCGGTTGAAAAACACTGATCGATCGATTTTATTACATTACGGTAAGTTAGTAGTAAAGAGTAACAGATGATCGGTTCACGTACCGCTTGAACTGAGCTCTGCGATCTTTCATGTCATATTTAGTGACAAGTGCCAAAACGGTGTTTATTGTTTGAATTTTGTAATAAAATTGACAGAATCTGATGAGAATAGGCTATGCGTTTCATATGAATAGTAGCCTAACTTTTCTCTGCGTGAGAAAATGCATGTGTGCATGAGAGCGTGTAAAAAGTGACAATTGCGTCTCTCACAGTGTTCATTTGCCATGTTGTTTGTGTATCTCTATCTTGGCAAGCCCTGAGTCCAGTCAGAACCACAGGAGCTCAGAGGTTGTTAAAGAGAAAACCGATTTTCATTAAAAAATTAATAAAATCGACGTAAACTACACATTCAAATTAATCGATAAAATCAATTTATCGCCCAGCCCTAGGGTCTGTCAATATAAATAGTGTGTCATGGGAGACGTAAGGGAGTAACAGTTCAACACTACATGACAAACATATTGTGATGAATTTACCAGATATTCTTTGAAGATGGTGTCTGGATCTTCATTGAGGTAGATGATGCATCTCAGGATACACTCCCTCCTGGTGTTGATGTTGTCACGCTGAAGTAGGGGTTAAAAATGAGACACAATTTAGCCAAATGTGGTTGTTCTGGTGACACAGAGAAGGAGCAGGTTGTCTAATTTAGATTAGAGGGTAATTTCAGTCTGAACAGGATGCCTAACCCCTAAATGCCCCCAACAAGCAAGTTGGTAGTTTTCTTGCATGTTTTACATTGGTGTGTGAGTGGATGAACCAAATAATCGGTGTATGTACATGGATATTAATAACTGCCCCTTAAGTTCCCATGAACCTGCCTAAAATGTTGCAAACAACAAATACCTGCTAGCTAATTGCAAACTGCATTCTTTGCACTGCCACATTCATAATCCTAAAAAGGAGAATAAAGACAAATATAGCTGCGAGCAGCGATGGCGGGCCCAAGCCGGAGGCACCGCAACCCCGGTTCCTTTAGTTACCTAAAGGCACCCGGGTGGCGGTGCCGAAGGCTTTGGCCCTTTCATGATTAAATGTTAAAACGGCTTGCCATACTCTGTCATTTCGACTAGTCACAATTATGTTACAGATATCTTAAATGATAATACAAACTATCCAAAGTGTAACGACTAGACAGAAAGACTTTGTTGATATCTACAATGTTAATTCCGGACAGGCAAACTTAGCTTTTAAATGTTAAAAGGGCTTGCCATACAGGGACGTAGGCTCAGAGAGAGGCTCACCATATTCAGACCAAAATATCTGACTTCCTCTTGGTCCGAGCTAATGACTATGTATTAGAAAGTTGTACGGCTTGAGGAGTACAATGTATATAGCGATTTTTGTAACTGTAGATAAAACTAACAACCCCACTTTTAAGTATATATATGGTGCCTTTAGTGTTATTCTGCACGACGTGCAAAAACTTAACCCCCGCTTTTTATATATATATATATATATATATATATATATATAAAGAGGGTTATTCTGCACGACGTGCAAAAACTTAACCTCCGCATTGACTGTCGAAGAGAAGTGTGCAGAAGAGCTTGCATCAGTGAGGGCTTTGCAAAATATATATACATACAAACACACACACACACACACATATAAATGAGGTTAGTGTTTTACAATATTAAGGAAAGCAAATGTATTGAAATATAGCACATTAATTTTAAATTCATTCAGCTTCAATTACCAATTTGTAGTTTACCAATTTATCTTACTTTTATTTAAAGCAAACTATACATTTAAAAGGGGGGGGGGGGGCAAGTCAAGTCAAGTCACAGGCTATGTCAAGTCAAGTCAAGTCTTGTAGTAGGTTAAGTCAAGTGCAAGTCAAGTCACCTTATTATTTTAATTTTACATGCAGAATCTGATCTTAATAAAATGAAAAGACAAGATAAGTATTTGCCAGTAAATTACAATAATTTGCATTGTAAATACTCATGTTCAGTAAAATACACCATGGAATCAAACAAAATTGTAACTTCATAAAATTATTTATTTTTCACTTCTGCCAACAGTGTGTTTGAAATGTTTTAAATTTTCAACATTGAGTCCATAAAACAAATAACAGCTTAACATCCTACAGACTCTCTGAACACCTTCCTCTCTCTCAAACACAGTTTACAAACAATATTAAACTTTGTTACATCTCTCTCTCTCTCTCTCTCTCTCTCTCTCTCTCTCTCTCTCTCTCTCTCTCTCTCTCTCTCTCTCTCTCTCTCTCTCTCTCTCTCTCTCACACACACACACACAGTGGCGGTTCTAGACCATTTCAACTGGGGGGGCCAAGCTGGGGCCAGTTGTACTGTTAGAGGGGCCAGTTACATTTAGACCTTATCATTTTCTGCACTGCACTGAATGCATAAATAAGCAAAATACCATGTTTATAATTATCCAACAATTTGCATTTGCATTATATTTTTACATTTGCATTACATATATCAGTCTGTATTTGAATTTCCATTTTATTTTTTTACATTGAATATACAGTATGTATATATATATATATATATATATATATATATATAATTTTTACAAATTAATCTACGATTTTTGTGGGTTTTTTTTTTTTTTTGCAAAAAGATCAGCAAATTATCCTCTAAACTGGCCTTTTTAGGGGGCTTTCCTCTCAGGGTGAATGAGCTTTTTTATAATTGTTTTTTTCCTGACATCTTTGAAAGACAGAAGCAATAATTAATGCATCCTTGGCCAGGATATAATTATAAAATATGACATGATTTTAAAAGTGACCTATAATATCGACTATGCAATACACTTTAATTTATCTAGTGCTAATAAAATTATTAAGCCTATTTGGAGAGAGAGATGTTTATAATGTGACAATATGTCAGTCATCGTGATTCGTGTAATAAGATGACTAGGCCTAGACTACTTGTTCTGAGCAGGTGTTGTCAGTGAACAGGCTGTAAAACTGTTGTCTAAGTTACAGACTGATACTAATTAAATGGGAAACGAATCGATTACCTAACGTAACCTCGGTTCTCTCTAGATGAGGGAACGAGCATTGCGTAAGCTAGCTTACGCTACGGGAAAGATTCATCTTACATCAGTCAAGTTGTCATAGTTTTTGTCAAACAAGTTGTGAATTTGTTGTAACATTAAAACAGGAGATCATGACTTACTCCGTGCTCCAAGTGATGTTCGGAGCTCCAGTGATTAGTTTCATCTGTGGGACGGGTGAAGAAACTTTCGGAAGATGTTGTAACAGAATCATATGAACAATTCCAGGATATGCTTTTTTTCATTGGTTGTTGCGTTAAATTTTACCCAGATACAATAGTGCCCTTTTCTGATTGGCTATTAAGTAGCACTTCTCTTTTTTTGATTGGCTGATGCGTAGCAGGGTCGACTGCTGAACTCCAGGCGAGACGCGCTTGATTCTCACGTGAGAGCGGCGCGGCCAGAGAAATTGCGTATATTAAATATATTATTAATAGTTTTTCCGCATGAGAAATACAATGTGTGACGGGAGTGTGAGACAAAAGACTGAAACGAGTGACTGTCATGCTCAATGCGTGACACACTATAAAAAAAATATTTCACACTGACTCCACATTTAGGGGGGCCACAAGGGGGTCCAAGCTTGTTGTCGCAGGGGCACTGGCCCCCCCAGGCCCCCGCCTAGAACCGCCACTGCTCACACACACGCACACACACACTTTCTCTCTCTCTCAAGAAGCAAAAACATGACTGCTAAAGGTTGTATCAGCGATGGCGGGGTAACATCACTTAACATCACGAGTGATATTCCCTTAGGCCACGCCCCCTTGTCTCCCCAAAGTATTATAAGCAATCATGCGCATCCCGTGTGCAGAATGATGCACTTGAAGCAACACCAAGTCACAGCACGCAACGCTTCACATTGAAAAGAACATAGCGAAGGGATGGTATCTATAATCTATGCTTAGTAGGGCTGCACGATTTGGGAAAATGTCATATTGCCATTATTGAGCCAATATTGCAATTGCGATTTGCGACTCCGATATAATAAAATGGTTTCATGAGTCCAACTTGCTTGGTTCTAAAGTAAAATGCACACACAGATTAATGTTTATTTCTCAACTCAAACTAAAAACAACAACAACAACAATAAATGATTGATAACACCTATAATGATCAATAAACCATCAACCAAACCAACATTACAGTGATTCCATCAATTGAAAGCCATCAACTTTTTAAAAAATTATTAGGCTTAAAAAAAATATATAACAGCTTTTAAATTAAGTGAACTTCAAACAATCCCCACATAAACCCATAATAAAAAACATATTTACCTGTGCCCTTCCTGTCTTAACAGGTACAGAAATTGAATAAAGTTATCAAACAGTCTGCGCTGCCTGAATCATAAATTATATATATAATAATCCTTATTAAAGCTACAAAAGTTCTTTACTCAAGATCAGTGAGTAATTTTCTAATTTCCCTTTGTTCTTTTAACTTTACTGAAAGAACGCTTTATTCGCTGCTGGCCCTTTAAGAGCACCCGTTGCCGAGACGCGGATCTCACACGCGCCTCATAGCACAACTCACAACTCTCACATTTTGGCATAATTGTGTGTGCTATTGTTCGTTCAAGCTCGAAAGAGAACTGTTTATTCTGGGCTGGCACACGGTCAGTGCATGCGCATTATGCGAGTCTCATCTATTCTAATCTAGGGCACTCACAGGCAGCTTTTCACTTCTTGTCGTGCAAAATGCGAAAAGGCATTTGAACCAATAAGAGGGGGATCTTGTAACACTAGTCAAAGGATGACAAAAAAGAAGAGATGCTGCGCTAATAGCCCTACTTTGTTTATTTCATTTAAAATCGCGGCATTTTGCGTTATATAATTGCATAGGTTTGAGATCGCTATTACGACTGCGATATAATTAATCGTGCAGCACTAATGCTTAGTGTATTCTAAAGGGCAATAAACTCCACTCCAGCAAGATAGTCATTTTATGCAAATCATAGACCTTTATGCCTTATCTACAAATAAAGTATAATATTGGGAACATTGATCTTGAAGAGAGTGTCGTCGTGTTACTGTCGCAACCGAACGCGACGCGCTAATGCTGATGCATGGAGAATGACTGAGGCGAGATGACTTTCCGTTAACTTTAACTTAGAGACTAAAATATTAATTTTACCACACATTAAGCTATTGAATGACTTTAGAAGTCTTGGAATATAGTGTGAAAACTTGATTGTGCTTTACAGTTTTTTATGCCTTTAGTGGGGCTTAACAAAATAACACAATATGCAGAATGTCGGACGTCACTTATAGGCTAAACTGTTTTTATAGATAAAACTATTTACATTCGGCAGTCATGAAAACAAATCTCAGATAACGGTTGACTAGGTAACAATGTGTAATTTTGCGCCGGAGTTCTCCTTTAACTTACATTAGCTAGCTAACTACGAACGAGCTAACCAGATAACATTAACAAATTGACAAGCACTTACTGGGCAGAATATGGCTCTTCAAATGACGGACGAAATTGGAGGTTGTCATCTGACTGTCCGCGATCTTAACGTTGCATGTCTTGCAAAGCGCTGTTCTTTTGCCATCTTGTTGTAAGAAATTCTTGAATCCAAAAGCGACGACGACCCTCGTTATCCCTCCGGCTGACATGTTGATGTGATCTGATGTAAGTGGGCGTGGTGTGCGCGTAAGGTATGAGAAGGCATGACTGATGATCTCTGATCCAGTCATGACAGCGCTATTCTCAGCCTGCGCTCCAGCTGGATCAACTTTATTTTTTTTTACATAATTTATATATTTTATATTCAAACTGAAAACATGATGTGATTAACACTCAAGTCATATTATTACATGCAAGTGTGTTTGATTTATGGACCAAATTTTCAGATCAAGTTTATGGACCAAGTTAATTTA